GACTTGTATATGTCATTCCCAAGACAAATTGACGCTGTATTGGCTGCAAAAGGAGGCCCTACACCATACTAATAAATTATTGTGGTCTAAAACCAGGTGTTTCAGTTTCATTGTCCAACCCCTGTAGTTAGTTTCATATTCTTTAGTTTTTTAGAGTTTTTTATGGGTTAGAAGGGATTATGTGGAACAATTAATCGGATGTGAAAGTGGACACAAACAGGAATTGGACTGTGGAGACATCAAGAATACAATCATATACGGACGAAGGATGTTTAATTAGACATGTGGTACTTTAATGTCATGGGTTAGCACGATACTGGTTAGTATTCTCTGTCTTCTCAGGATGACACCAATCCAGAGACTGGCTGTACAAGTAACATTTTTTGGCATTGGACTCAGAGACCTATGGACACATGAAGACTTTGTGGGACCCTGAACCAGGATATATGTGATGGCAGAACAATAAAGTTGAAAAGAACCAATCTAACAGACTACAGAATGTTCCAGGAAGACCAAGGACAGAGACTGAACTACACTGTTTTGCTGCTGAGAATTTAACTGATGTTTTTTCAATTTTCTGTTATAACTTTAAGCTTGTCTTTATGTCGTTTAAATGACCTAAATTGTTTCAAGCTGTTTATGCACTCTGATAGAAAGGGAGCATCCATTCTAGTGATGTTCAGCTCCAGAGTTTCAACAGGGTCAGTGTCTTCTGTTACATATTGCGGTGAATAGGAATGATGAACAAGGACCAGATTGGCATGAAAGGTCCATAAAATAGATAATGATACGTATTAGATTCAAAAGAGATCTCTTGTTCAGACTGGGCGAGAATGAGATTTCTCTGAGGCCTCCAGACCTTTTTTCCTGCCTTTTAGGATGGGTAGGTTTTTTGACTGGAGGTCCTAAGCTGACCTGAAGGTCCCCTTCATCGACACGTGGTTTTGTGAGTTTGACAGACATGGATGTTTGTCCATGGGTGAGTTGATGAGATGTGTTCCTGAGGGAGACTTTCGGGAAGAGCTACAGAGTAGCCGGATTTGGTCTAATTAGTGATTAGGTTTAGTTTAGCATAGTCTAACATAGTTAAAATAATGTGCGCATAGGAACCTTAAATAGGATCATAATTAATTAGTTGAACCCGAAACTTCAGACCTAAATAATAGCAATCATTTAGGGCTGCTTAATTTTGTACATAATGTAATTTAACTACTTTCCATAATTGTTCACATTTTAATTCATTTTACTCACTTAAATACATCACATATACTCACAGCATATTTACAATAAATATATAAGACCTCTCTCAGCTGTTAATTAGCTTAAAAGCCTAATTAATGGGGGACTATGTGGAAGCTTAAAGCTTTGTTTGTTAGATTAAAAGTGTTATTATTGTTTTTACCATATGCAAATATGAATTCTTTGTTCTGTGCATAAGGAAACAGGCCTGTCTGGGAACAGATTACATTAGAGAAAAAGTTCTTGGCATGAGGAATGATTGATGGGCTTGTTATTGCAGTTCAGCCAGGAAATCTTGTGATACCCTGACCCCTGCCAGGTCAGCGTGACATTATTGTCTAGTACCCAGATAAATGATGAGAATGTTATTGTAAACTATCACGAAGGCCAGTCTGATCTTGTCCAGATGTTGGGCTTGAGTGTATTCCCGGAACTGCAACCGAGAATCAATGTTGTGGATGCCAAAAGTTTTACGTAAATGAGTATGATGATTTCAATTGGTCAAAGAGGACCAAATACACATCAATGCTTTGTATCTGTATAAAACTGCCCTGTAAGGACTGAAAAGCAGGGATACTTGGAATTGTTTGATGAAGATGTTCTGTGCGCTGTAAGAAATAAAAGTTCCCCCCGTGAAGGCTGGGAAGAGACATTTCTGAGTTCTGTGTTAATTGTTTTAGCTCAGTGATAAGACTGCCCTCTTCCACAATACCTGGTCAGATAGTACTAAAGAAAGTAAGCAGGTTCTACTGAGACTTGAACTCAGAAGGGATCACGTCAATACAGGTTAAATAAAGTTCACCTTACTGTGCTATAATACACCAAGGCTTTTCTTTGGCACCTAATTCACAGACAATCACGACGCCCCCATGACTAAAAACAGCCTCCAAATCAAATTGTTTCTCCATTTTGCCTGATAGAAAAAATAAAAGCACCACGACAACACCTAAACCAATGTTGCTCTTTTATGTTTTCTGTGACCCTGTGAAAATGAATCAAACCCTTTTTGAAGAACAACCTCACTTAAACTGACTTCCCCTTTCATGTGTACAGGAAAGTTGTTCAAAAGCAGGGTCTGGAATTACAATGACACACCATGAATGAGTTGAAGGTTAAAGTGAGACCTAAAACCTTTGCAACCAATGTCTAGAGTGCTATGTATATATAACTAAGCTGTAGGATGGAGCTTTTCTTCAGCCTGTTCGACCTTCCTCAACAATTCCTTGCCTTGCCAGGTGTCACACTACGGCATACCAGAGGCCTTTGCTAGACTGCCTGGCTGTGTAGGACGGTTAAGCTAAAGCATAATGTCAGTTATATGATCATTTTTCATTGTATTGAAATGCTTCTCTTTGAAGTGATACCTGGTCAGATACTACTAAATAAATTAAGCAGGTTCTACTGAGACTTGAACTCAGAACACTGAATTCAAAGTCCAGAGTGCTAACCACTGAACCTTGGAACCATTGGCTAATTGAGTGGGTGTGCAGTTTGGGTGTTAATAGGCTTACTGGTTGTCCTTTTTTTCTAGCTATGTATTTTATATATGATTAAGGCGTTGGATGGAGTTTTTCTTCGGCCTGTTCGACCTTCCACAATAATTCCTTGCCTTACCACCAGTCACGCTATGGCATAGCAGAGGCCTTTGCTAGACTGCATGGCCGTGTAGGACGGTTAAGCGTAATGGCAGTTATATGATAATTTTTCAATGTATGTAAATGGTTGTCTTTGGAGTGATACTACTAAAGAAATTAAGCAGGCTCTACTGAGACTTGAACTCAGATCACTGGATTCAGAGTGCTAACCATTGAACCTTGGAAGCATTGGTTAACTGTCTGGGTGTGGAGCTTGGGTGTTAACAGGCTTACTGGTTGTCTTTTTTTTTCGTAATTATCTATTGTATATATGATTAAGGCATTGGATTGAGTTTTTTTTCATCCTGTTCGACCTTACTCAACAATTCCTTGCTTTGCCACCAGTGACACTATGGCATAGCAGAGTCCTTTGCTAGACTGCATGGCCAGTCATATGATTATTTTTCAATGTACTTAATTAGTTCTTTTAGGAGTTATACCTGGTCAGATACCACTAAAGAAAGTATGCAGGTTCTACTGAGACTTGAACTCAGATTACTGGATTCAGAGTCCAGAGTGCTAACCATTACACCATAGAACCCCTGATAGCTGTTGTTGTTGAAGGGTTTTAGGGATTCGTGATTTTGAAAATGCCAGCATGAGAAGTTAGCTGTGTACATGGTAGATCACATAAGTCAAAATCTTATGTTGATGTGAAAAACTCTATGACAGTGAGAAGCTGCTTCTGTCTGGTTTCGAACCAGAGACCTTTTGCGTGTTAGGCAAACATGATAACCACTACACCACAGAAACCCACACTCCGCAAGCAGTTCCCAACAAAAGATCAAAAGTGTGATAAAGCACACTTTTGACAAACGTCTAAATGGCATTGCCAATTATTTTACTGTATTCTTCAAGGTGAATTATTAGTCACTTTATTCTCACACAGACCACATTACTTTGTAGATTAACACTCAGTCAAATTCCTATTTCTTACTGTTTTCTAATCTAATTCCATTTACACATCAGTTATGCATGAGAACAACTACACTATAGAAAATGTTGCTTTGGGAAAACCTTAGGTGAAATGTCAAAAATTAAGCCAAGGCATCACTTCAATACAGGCTAAATGAAGTTCACCTTACTGTGATATAATACACCAAGGCTTTTTTTTGGCTCCTAATTCACAGACAATCACGGAGCCCCCATGACTAAAAACAGCCTCCAAATCAAATTGTTTCTGCATTTTGCCTGATAGAAAAAATAAAAGCACCACGACAACACCTAAACCAATGTTGCTCTTTTATGTTTTCTGTGACCCTGTGAAAATGAGTCAAACCTTTTTTGAAGAACAACCTCATTTAAACTGACTTCCCCTTTCATGTGTACAGGAAAATTGTTCAAAAGCAGGGTCTGGAATTACAATGACATACCATGACTGAGTTGAAGGTAGAAGTGAAACCTAAAACCTTTGCAACCAATGTCTAGAGTGCTATGTATTGTATATATAACTAAGCCGTAGGATGGAGCTTTTCTTCAGCCTGTTCGACCTTCCTCAACAATTCCTTTGCTTTCCAGGTGTCACACTACGGCATACCAGAGGCCTTTGCTAGACTGCCTGGCTGTGTAGGATGGTTAAGCTAAAGGATAATGTCAGTTATATGATCATTTTTCAATGTATGTAAATGGTTGTCTTTGGAGTGATACTACTAAAGAAATTAAGCAGGCTCTACTGAGACTTGAACTCAAAACGCTCGATTCAGAGTTCTAACCTTTGAACCTTGGAAGCATTGGTTAACTGTCTGGGTGTGGAGCTTGGGTGTTAATAAGCTTACTGGTTGTCCTTTTTTTTGTAGCTATCTATTGTATGTATGATTAAGGCGTTGGATGGAGTTTATTTTCAGCCTGTTCAACCTTCCTCAACAATTCCTTGCCTTGCCACCAGTGACACTATGGCATAGCAGAGGCCTTTGCTAGACTGCATGGCCATGTAGGACGGTTAAGCATAAAGACAGTCATATGATTATTTTTCAATGTATTTAAATGGTTCTCTTTGGAGTGATACTACTAAAGAAACTAAGCAGGCTCTACTGAGACTTGAAATCAAAACACTGGATTCAGAGTGCTAACCACTGAACCTTGGAAGCATTGGTTAACTTTCTGGGTGTATAGCTTGGGTGTTAATAAGCTCACTGGTTGTCCTTTTTTTGTAGCTATCTATTGTATATATGATTAAGGCGTTGGATGGAGTTTATTTTCAGCCTGTTCAAACTTCCTCAACAATTCCTTGCCTTGCCACCAGTGACACTATGGCATAGCAGAGGCCTTTGCTAGACTGCATGGCCGTGTAGGATGGTTAAGCATAATGTCATTTAAATGATCATTTTTCAATGTATGTAAATGGATGTCTTTGGAGTGAAACTACTAAAGAAATTAGGCAGGCTCTACTGAGACTTGAAATCAAAACACTGGATTCAGAGTGCTAACCACTGAACCTTGGAAGCATTGGTTAACTGTCTGGGTGTGGAGCTTGGGTGTTAATAAGCTTACTGGTTGTTCTTTTTTTTCTAGCTGTTGGGGCCATCCATTTGGTCGCAGCTCAACAGATGTCGCAGCTTTGACGTCACTGGAAGTATAAACCGGCTGAGATGCATAGTCTCGGGGCCATTTCCGCCTGTCGCAGGACAGCGTATAGGAGGCGCATTTCTGGTGAGACAAGAGCTCGCAGGCGAACTTTTGCTCCACAAGGCCATTCCCGGAAGAGCTTGAAAGCTGGAAATCTGTCTGATACGAGAAGATCAGAGGATTTATTTGCCGATCGAAGACCGCGCCACAACCGGCGCAGGTGAAAAACCTACAGAGGTTCTATGTCCAAGGAGAAGAGTTTCCTCCTTGTGTATGCAGTCGACTAAAGGTTCTTCATCTTTTCCCCTCGTGGACGGATGAGAAGTTACCGTTTTTTTTTCTTAATTCGATCACGGACGCGTGATCCCCCCCCCTCCTTTTCTTCAGACCTGATCCATCCTCAACCGGTGGAGAGCAGAAATCAACTTCAAAGTAATTTCGTTCTTTTCATATTAAACCGGATAGGTGCATTTAGAGGTCTGGGCAGGATGAGGCAGTTAAGGTGATGTAGGATCACCTGTAGTTAATCTAAGGTATTAACTTGTTGCATGCAATACTGATTGAATTATGTTATGCTGAGCTGTATTTTTATTTGCTGCGCAAGCGCTGCTGAATTGTGCGTGGTTAATGTTTTGTCCGGCTGATCCCAAATCAGCCAGGAGTTAGAAGTTGGACTTTTAAAAGTTTTTCATTCAAGGCAGCTGCGGTCTGGGCCTCGCCCAACCACTCTTTGTTCCAGTTTTATTGCTGGAAATTTTCCACTGGGTTCCCGCCTCAAGAGTTTTATGACCCTTTGTCAAGATTTGGGGCGATCAGCTGGTCGTGGCTAAAGGGGCGTGGCCCCACCGTTTCATCAGCTGATCGCTGCGATCGAGACATCAACACGACAGGAGGATTTCTTTCCATTTAACCCAAATTACACATTTTGTCCATAAACTGCTGGTTTGATCTTCATAGACACTAAATGCATATATATATTTTTCT